AGTGGGAATGGTCACACTAAGAAGGTAATCTCCACAGTTCACTACCCCAACAGCAGCTGGTAAGGGATTGGAAACAGAACAGAGAGATTAAGACCAAGTGCCCCCCCTGGAAATTTCTACTGGATATCACAGTGGAGTTGTCTGTATGAATCATTACCAAACAGCCTTTTACCACAGAAAGAAAAGGATGCAAAACCTGATGAACCACTAAGAGTTCCAGGAGGTTGATATGAAAGGTCACTTTCTCCAGGTTCCACTGCCCCAAAATCTCGATGTTGAGACAAGCCCCCCTCCACCTTCTCAGGGGAGCAGCTGTTAAAAGATGAAAATCCAAATGATAGGAAGAAAGAGGGCCACACTTTGTAGTATTGGTTCTATCAAGCCACCAGGTGAAATTGTCATGTTGGGATGGAGGAAGATGAGTAAGGGAGGGACATGGGATCTTAAGAGAGGTTCAATTGATCACGCTGAGTCCACTGCAAAAAATGTATGTGAGCATGTCCCAAAGGAATAAGGGGTAACATTTAAGCCCAAGTCCACAAAAGAGAGAGAATCTCCCATGCAGGAATAGAAGAAGTGAACAGAGCTGTGGAAACCAAACTCTCCAGGGCCCTTCAAAACAATAAATATGAGCAGAAACATGTTAAAAACTGTAATTAACGAGAAAAAAACTGGAAACGATATAAACACTTAAAAAAATTACCTAGATATAGAGACTTCTGAAAATGACATTCTAAATGCACCAACAGGGAGTTAGACAGGAGAAACACACATAGACGATAATTAACTCAAGAAAAAACCCATAAGTGATTGGAAATTTGCAAAATCAAGGTAATTGAGACAATCATGCAGGTAATTTTTCAAGTGTTTATATTGTTTCCAGTTTGTTCACGTTAATTACCGTTTTTAACATGTTTCTACTCATATTTATTGTTTTGCGTGTTACTCGCAGCTTAATCTCCTTTAATGTATTTTCTGTAAGTATGATATAGCATGTTTTTTGGGTATCTGTTGTTTCTAGTGTATTTACAGCTAAATCTCTTTTAACGTCGTTTACATGATTTATGTACATAGGTATTGAGTTATGTGATTTATATCTGGTTTAGAGTGTTTGCTAGAGCAAACTCTCATTTTTTATAATTAGCTTTTGTTCCACGCTGTTTTGTCTCTCCCTTCTCTATATTCTGAACACTATTTATATAAGCTATTTAGGACAACAAGAATTATTATGATGCAGACCTAACAATATCAAACACCAGAAGAACGATTTTAATTGTATTTCTAATAGAACATTAGGAACAGCCTTTTGAGATTTTGTTACTCTAAATTCTTTTAGTAGTGGATAGGAAATTTGAAGATTTAGATAATGCACAAGGTTAGTTATCTTTACAAACAATTGTGTGTGTTCTAAATACAGAGACTTGTACAATAAAACTTGTAGCCCCAAACAGTGAACCACAAATAGAAGTCGAGATTTAAAAACCGAGGCAAATGGCCCTTACTTTCCCTGAGCCTAGAAGATAGTCACCAACAAGATTGTAAGTGCTGAAACCTATGGACACAGGTGAACAGGTGGGAGCAGAAGAACAGAAGGAAGGGACAGGAGACTATAATGGGAAAAGGAACTTCGGAGAGATATGAGGACAAGGAAGAATGTTGTAGCACAACCTCAACCCATCACTCAGAGAATCAGGTACTTTATCAAAAACGCCTTGGCAGACGAAAGAAACCATATGAAGATCCCTGAGTTAGAAGGAAGGCAGAGGTACCAGAGCAAGAAGGGCATCCTTCCCTAACAGATTCCTGCAACAGAACAACCAAGTCAGAAGGGACAAAGCCAATGAAGAAGATAATGGAACGAGTATCCATTGAAAACCTCTCAGGGGAATGGTGGATTGTGTCAGAAAGAAAGTGAATGGAGGAATGATAATGTAACAAGATAGTGCGGGTAAGATGAAGGTGTGAAAATTGGACCTGAGAAAGTGAAGACAGAGGATCTGAGCTCCAAGCCTGAAGACTTCAGGGTTTGTGAATCCAAGAGAGGATGAGAAGGATGAGGCATGCTGGTACAAGAGCAAAGTTGACATAAAAATTCTTCAGTATGGACTTGAATACTCAGAAAGGGAGGAAAAACATAATAGTGAGAAGCAGTGGATGAATGAAGAAGTAAAGGAGAAAAATTATACAAGACAGGAAAGAGAGAAGGTAACATACCTGATAAATCATGTCAAGAAAAGATGAAGAAGGCCTAGGTAAATCCAAAACGGTATTGGTAGTAGAGTTGGCAGGTGGTTGGAAAAGACTGTCAAAATCTTTATAGGAGGAGGTATATCTGTGTCAGGTTCCAAAGAAGGTCAAGGCCACATGAAAATATTTCATCTCTCTTTGCACAATAGTCATCAGTTCCTCAACAGACAAAGATAAACCTGATGCCAGTGTAATTGTTTGTCCAGCTTGAACATCTTGTTGTCCCACACCAGAAAAAGTGGAAGGTACCATAATTTGTGAATTTATAATGTGAAATAAAAGGCCACAAAATATGAAGATGCAAAAATTTTGAAAACTAAAATCCAAATTTAATCTTTCCACAGCATTGAGTGTTTTTTCCAGATACTTCAACAACAAATGCCAATATCAAAAAAAAATTCACAAGCAAAAAAAAAGAAACACATAATTTTACACAAATCAAATCGAGAAGTGATGATTGAACAATCAGTATAGAGAGAGTCAGCTGCACTTGGAGACTGTGTCACACTCCAACTGGTGAAGAGGCAGCCATATCACATGGAAATATACGAGTTTAAGTTGGAGCCTCAAGGCTAGTGGCAAGTGAAAAAAGTTCACATACAGAAGGCAGTATTGAATCAGGAAAGCTCTATGTAAGTTAAGGTTACATATTGTATCAGAAACTGCAATATACTGATCAGAGGAAAGCCTTATACAATATTTGAAGTCACGTGCCAGGACAAATTCTAAAATATGTTTAATCATTGTTCTAACAGCACACATGCTCCATTTCTGTTCTAGAAATCAACTTTGGAACACTTAGAATATTCTAGAACAATCAGAATATGCAAATATAATGCAAGCTACTTTGAACAACCCCTAAATGTCACTCAATATAGATAAAATTTAGTATGAATTACTTATATATTGGAATAAAATCAGGGAGTGAGACTGTTGTACACACACACACACACATACATATGTATATGTCACTTTTGGAGGGGAGCCCTCCCTATATTAAGTTTGCTATGGGCTCCGTCTAACCTCTGGACAGACTTGAGTATACCAGGTCAGCAGGAATAAAAAAAGGGAGGGGTTTAAAGGTTTCTTTTTTCTAATTTACAAAACAAACTGGACTAACTATTGATACTTACAATTTAGAAAGCTATTACTGTTGAGAATTTAAAGTAAACTAAATAAATTTAGTTAAAAAAAAGGTAAAGCAGAGATTTTTCACCTACTGTTTCACTTAAGAGTTAGTCAAAATATAAACATTCCTTCAGATATAGAATATGCATCATAGCTAAATAAAATGGAAATTTTAATAAGACTGGAAAAGAATCATATAAATGTACAACTAAAGTACCTACCATTTTCTATATGCACCAACAAATTCAAGGTTTAGGAGATGTCCAGAAACAGATGTCATCATCATAGCACATTTTTGATTTAATATATAGTATTCAAATTCATAAATTTTGTTGAATTTTGATAATCCCTCTCTTCTTTTGTATCTACCTTTTGACATAATCTCTGATAAGTGCTTTGCTGCATCATTCTTTTCAGCTACATTCAATATCTTAACCATGCTTTCTTGCTTTTTATCCAAAGGTTTAGAACTAAACAGCCATCTAGAAACTTTTGCTGAGTGTGCACGATGATTATGTATGTTTTGAATGTTTGTTCTTAAACACGTCTTCTTTGGATACTCAAATCCATAAACATTTAAAAAACTACTAAGCAACTTTGCTTCATAATGAGATACTACACACAGATTAATAATGTTCTTTTTTAACCAAACACAAGATATTCCAGAAGTCAAGGAAAACTTTGGGCACAAAACTGTGAAAAAATTCATTCAATTCACCTGCAGTGTTTTGTGAGGACAGAAAATTTCTGGAAATAATTCATAAAATATAACATACATTAGACAGTGGTAATTTATATCAGTATCATGAGCTTTTAGCAAAAAAAAACTATCAAGATTTTTAAATATTTAAAGATCAAACTAAGAGATCTACTTCATAAGCACCACTTAGAAAGTCACAACATTCTATCATCGCTTAGTAAGCCTTTTATTACACAAAAACTAAATATTAGTTAGATCGTTTTCTTCCATAAGAAACTTCTTTAATTTTTAATATTCTCAAACTTTTTCCAAATAGTGTAACTTATTTGGATTAATAATAATAGAAATAATATATAATGTCACAACCAAGCTTTTAACCACACTGTGTAAAACAAATCATTCAATCTTTTCAGAAGTCAACTTAAGAGTGACAGGTGTTTTAAACTTCAATGGTGTACAGAGGAAAAAAAATGTATTCCATGTAAGACAAACTAAAAAGCTAGAATTAAGATTAAATTTACATTAATACTGTAACTTGAAAAACTATAATAACAGCCCACTTAACTCCTATAAACATTTCAATACATGCACAAGTATATATACAAAATCTTATTGTTTTGAATATTTTTTTCTCATTTTGATAACGTAAAAAACACTGAAGGAAAACTGTATTTCTTAAATAAGTTAAAATTTAAAGCAAGATGAGTAACATCAGTTACTTACATAAGATTTGCTTTGCTTCTAAGCTTTACTTGTTTTTTTTATTAAATTATATATGTTTCTAAACCTTTTGTTTTGTATTTTTGTTATTTCTAACTGATGAATTTGTTCGTTTTTTGCAAAATTTTTACAAGCTGATGAGTAAATATTCAGCTGCAAAAGTCCTAACAAAAAATCTTTATATGTGTACTTAAATATTTTGAAAAATAAATCATTTGAAAATCAAGTCAGTTTGGTTTGTTTTGAATTTTGTGCAAAGGTACATGAGGGCTATCTGCACTAGCCATCCCTAACTTATCAGTAAAAGCAGCTAGTCATCACCACCCACTGCCAACACTTGGGCTACTATTTTACCAATGAATAGTGGGATTGACCAACACATTTTAACCCTGCCATGGCTGAAAGGGTGAGCAAGTTTGATTGGACGGAGATTTGAATCTTCAACCTGAGTTTGCGAGTCAAGTGCCCTAATCACCTGGCCTTGCCAGGCCAATTCAATAAGAATTTTTAGTTTCTGTTATATTTTCATGTTTATATTCATATATATATATAAATTTAAGATGTTTATTTTAGGTGTCCAGCAAAATCAGTTTAACCCTAAATTATAAGATAAATTTTTAGTGAGGTCACACATTCACTAAAATATTTTGTTTTTTCAAAAATTCTAGTTTGCTTAACAAAATATATATATCTGAATTAAAATAAAAAATTAATTAACAAAACAACTTATTGCAATCCACATATATATTATAAACTACACCTTAGTAATAGTAGTTAATTACTCATCACCATTCTACACTGTATTCCTTTTTTATTCATAAAAAAAAAAGTCATTGGCTCACTGGGTATTTGACCACCAAATAAAAATAAACAGCAACAAAATATAAGCAAAACTGAGACAAAAACAATGAACACTTAAGAGCCCTGATGAAAATTATGTAACTATATACTATAATATAGATAAGAAATAAAACATCCAAGTATCAGCATATATTTAAATGAAAACAATTTGCCATTACAAAGTAAGTAGACCTAGATAATTTAATTTAAAAATAAAATTAATTTGAAAAATACTTTTCAACACAAACATGACAATTGACATAACCTTTCAATTTCATACAAGTTTAGCATTAAAACATAAATATTTTGTTTAAAATATACTAGTAGTTCTTGAAATATGAAGGAAATAAATAAGTACCACATAAAATCAACAAACACTTAAACTACTTAAATTAAAGTAACATAGATTTTGATGATAAAGTTGCTTCAATTACAATTTACAAGTAAAAGTACAAAGTAAATTTCCACAGTGACAACAACATATCTAACTCAATCTAAGTTCATTTCCTGTAGTTTATTAGTTTTAACATACATAGCATTTTAGTATTGTTACCTCTATTTGTAAAAATTCCTACCTGTAGTAACATATTCTAGGACTAAACTAAGTAATACAGTGCCAGTATCACTGTGCGTGTTGTTTATTATGTTGGTTACTAATAGTATTAGTTAGCATAGCACCTTCTTCGTATACAATTATATTTATAACACACACAAGAACGCAAAGGCACTGATGGAAATCACTTGCACTCGAGGCTTGTTAAGAAATCATATCATCACTATATCATATACACTCTTTGAATGTTTTAAAATTTAAAGCTACGCAAATAAAATAATTATAAAGAAATTAAAATAGAAGCAGAAATCATCCAAACCACGGTCTTAAAAACACACATTCGCGCGAAACTTTAATAATTGTGCGTCCTCTACTGGCACAAAATACAGTATTTAAAATTTAATAAGTAATAATAAATCTAATTTATTATTTTCTTGTAAATTTGAATACCTAGATATTATCCCTCTCGAGTATTGATATTAAAAGGATAACATCATCAAATTTTTGATAAAAAGTTACTATTGTTTGTTTTGAATTTCGCGCAAAGCTACACGAGGGCTATCTGCGCTAGCCGTCCCTAATTTAGCAGTGTAAGACTAGAGGGAAGACTAGTCATCACCATCCACCCCCAATTTTTGGGTTACTCTTTTACCAACGAATAGTGGGATTGACCGTAACTTATAACGCCCTCACGGCTGAAAGGGCGAGCATGTTTGGTGGGACGGGGATTCGAACTCGCGACTCTCATATTACGAGTCGAGCGACCTAACCACTTGGCTATTCCGGTTTTAAAAGTAACTAAACCATAAATGATATACCAGAATTCTTTTACATTACAATGGGCAAAAAGTACAGGCGGAATTGCTTATAACTGTAAAAATGGTGACATTATAGAATCAAGAGATGATGCTGACATATCAGTTATTAGTGGGTTAGATATTACGAATGCATTTTTTTATCATAAATTATTTTAAAATGGATATACATAAAACAGTGTCATTTTGAAGGAATTAACCATTCATATAAACTCCAGGAAATTTAACGCTGTTATTAAACATTTGGAAATAGATCCTTACAGAGAAAACGTTCTTTTTTTGTGATCTAAGTGAATTAATTAGTAGAACTACATCTCGAAGGAAAAAAGTCAGTCTAATCAAATCACAAATCCAGTGAAGAGCGATCATCAAGCGTCAAAAAGCAAGTATGCACATGGCCGTAGCTAGCTACGAGGACAACTAGGTCTGAACCTCGGTTAGAATTTGAAATTAAATATAATGTACTATCTAATTTTACATGCACTCTGTGTTTAACTTAATAACAATTTTTTCGTTGTGTGTTACACATCGTGTCCAGTCTGTCAATTTGCTTGCTTAAACTCACACAGATACTTGGACGACTTTCACAACCAAAAACGCCCAAAGTAATATTTCACCAATGCATTCTTATGTCCTGAATTTGAATCTGAAAGCCGTTTTTCCCTTTACAAGTAAGCCAACATGGCATGGGGGTAAAAGCCGGTATGATTTGTTGTGCAAGCTGAGAGCTCGAATTCAACTTACGTGAAAATATGTTATATAGATTCTTTTATAAAATTTATTGACTACGTCAACTAAAATGTTTTTTACCTAGAGCTCTGGGGAGTAAAGTCTGAGGATCGCTGCTCAGTGGTTGATAGTGACTCTAAATACACACTTCAGTTTATAGTTGTTGACTATTTTTTTCTGCCAGAAGGCAACGTGAAACTGATATGACACAAATATATCTAAACTTGTTTCTCCAATATCAAGACTTCTAATAGTTTGTTCCATTTTCTATGTGCGTTTTTCTTGTTGTAAGACTAACTAATCATTGTAGAACAAGGAACGTCATTGATTGTAGGATCACTGACTGAAAGGAAGAAGTGATCCTTGCTTTTGAAGCTATTCAGTAATGCTCGCAGTGCAATCCATACATTACATTGTATTATTTCTACTTTATTATCGCACAGTGAAGTAGACATTAATATGTACCAATGACCTTTTTCAGTCTCTAGAAAGGGATCAACAATATCTAAGACTATAATCTTTAAAAAACCAACGATTTTATGATTGAGTTTATCCTGTCTTGACTGTTTCTTTTTCTGAGCTGAATATCTAGACTCGAATGCAATTACAAGAACTGCTTTTGGATATTAGCTCAAGTGCACACAATATCTTGATATTCACTAGTCTTTGTATTATGCAAGGTCTGGAAAATGTCTTGCCTTGGAGCTCTGGGGACCATTAGCACAGTCTGAGAACTGAGGTTCAGTGATTGATAGAAATGGTACACCACACCTTTCTGCACTCATTATTGATCACAGATTGTGTGCATCCATATGGCTGAGCTTTACCTTTCTTCACATCAAGGAGTACCCATGCTAGATCTGGGTCCTTCAATTGTTCTTCCTGGAGTTCTCGAAGTGCCAATCAGGGCAACCATCTATTACAATTTTCTTGATAGCTTTATGTTGCTACAGTGAAAAATGTTTCAATTCCCACATGCAATGTCCAAGATCAGAACATTTCATGAATGGACAGGGTATTACTGCTTGATGGGACAATCTGTCCATATTTCTATGTTGAGGACCTGGGCAATGCACTATGAGAAAATCATATTCCTGCAACATTGTTATCCTTGTTTTTGAATCTATCAAACTGGTATTTATAGTTCATGTACCATTTCAGTGAATCATGGTCTGTCCACGAAAGTGGTTAAGTTTGTTTTGAATTTCTAGCAAAGGAACTTGAGGACTATCTGGACTAGCTGTCCCTAATTTAGCAGTGATACACTAGAGGGAATGTAGCCAGTCAAAAACACTAGCCACTAACTCTTAGGCTATTCTTCTACCAGCAGGTAGTGGGATTCACTGTCGCATTATAATGTCCCCACAGCTGAAATGGCAAGCATGTTCAGTGATGGAGATTTGAACCCACAGCCCGCGGATTCAGAGTCGAGTACCCTAATCACCAGGACCAACGAAAATAAAACCACTACCATAAACACAGTGGTGGTAGTGTTTTATGAAGACTATAACTGCAAGCATTTCTTTCTTCATTATACTATATATACATATGTTTATGTTCAGGAGCTGTGAGTTTACAACTAGCATACATAACTAAACATTCTTCTCCATCTTGTAGCTGTGATAACATCGCTTAAATTCCATTATTACTAGCATCACTCAGTGGAATAACAGTAACTTTATGTACTTACAATACTAAAATCCGAGGTTCGCTTCACTGCAGTAGACTCAGCAGATAGCCCAATGTGGCTGTGCTGTATTTACAAACAAACAAACAGTGTCCAATAAGAATTTGATGTATTGTCATGGATATGCTAGCCCTGGAGCCTCCACTAAAGCAAGCTATAGGGATTGGAATACTTTTTCACATTCCTTGTTCCATCCAAAGTATGTCTCAATTTTAGGGATAGCAAACAATGGTGCTGCTATTTTAGAGAAGCTGGTCACAAACTGTTATGGTTATGACACAAAAATCAAGAAAACTGTAGACTTCTCACTTGGTCACATATTGAGACCAATCTCTCACTGCTGCTATCTTAGCAGGGTCTACAGTGACTCCATCTTTACCTATTATATGACCCAAAAATTCTACATCTGTACACATGAGTGCAAATTTTCTTGTTTAAGTTCCAAGCCTGCTTTCTTTATCATTCTCAGGTTCTCAGTCACAGACATGAGCATGTGACCAAACACTAAAACATCATTGATTTAATCTAGTCATTTATCCCACAGAAGTGTCTTCAACATAAGTTCCATTAGTCTCTCAAAATTGGTGGACATGTTACATAGGCTGAATGCCATGATAGAAAACTCACAAGCCATCTTTTGTGTTTGAATAAGTTTTGGATGTGCTCTCACCATCCACCTCGATTTTCCAGTATCCAGATGCCAGGTCTAAATGATTAAACCAACAGAAGCCTTCCAATGTTTCCAGAAATGTAATTGTTTGTGGCAAGGGAAAGACATCAATCAGAGTTAGTTCATTAACCCATTTAAAATCAACACGGGATTTTGCCATACTTTCTCTTTTTTCTGACAATCACTAATGAAAATGATCAAGTACTCTCCAAAGATTTTATAATCACGTCCTTTAAAACCCTCTGTATCTCAATGGATAGCATGATGATTGATTGATTGGAAATGAATTACCTGTATTTATGTTGTGATGAGTCGCTATTGTTCAACCTGATGAAATATCTAGTCCCAAAAATATATTGCAGTATATTCAACCAACGAGTCACAGAGTTACTTTCACTGCATTGGTAGCTATGGTTACTTCCACTTCACTTGCACTGATGGCCATTTCATTGTACAACTGTATAACAGCTCATCTATAACAACAAAACAACACTGAGACTTCATCTCTCCTCAGACAGATAACTAACTGAGTGAATGCTGCTTGCTTTCTGTACAGGAAACATTTCATATCATGTGTGGAGTCTATAATTACATTACATGACACTGAAATACTAGACCTCGTCCATAGTAAATCACAAAACACCACTTATGTATACAGAGGTATAGTGACTCCCTCTGCTACATACACTTATGTAGTACACTGTTCCTGGGCTTGATCTGACTGACATAGGCTAACTTTCCCATTCCAGTTGCACAGTTGCTCATTTTTGCAGTACATCCATTCTAAGAATGCCAATGCTAGAACCGAGGTCAGAAACAACTAATCTCATTCTGTAAGTAATATTTTCTAGACACACCTGGAGATTTGCCTCTCCACTCATGTCTAGTCTATTGCATTTGGAAAACAAAGTCATTATCCATTGACCAGAATGGTGGTCTCACTAGTGTTCTGGCTGCTCATGTGTCAACCAGAAACTTGAATTTTTACATTTTTACTCTAACAAGTATGAACCAAACTCCACCCAACTTTGAGAGAGCTGGCTTGATAACCACCAAACCTTTTGATGCAAACTGTCTGTTGTGCTTAACCAAGTCAGTGGCCAGTGCTGACTTTGGCTCCATTAGTTTCCAGAGATATAATGGTAATGCTTTCTGTTTTCTGTTGATTTCTTCTGGACCTGCTGAGCTGTTGGTTGAAATTAATAGCCTTTCCCACTCTGCTGCTCGGTAAAGTATGGGCACTGTTGATTCTCTTGCACCTGCTGAATCATCTTTCTAAACTGATAGTCTTGCCTACTTTGATGCTAAATAAAATACAGGCAGTTTACTCACCAGTGACACAACATACAACAAACTAAACAAATACTTCATTCCTCTTATCGCACTTTATTTGATGTACATACAACTGTCTCCTTTAAGTTTAATGTAAGGGTTAT